ACTCACATCAGAAAAACAGAGTGAGCTCAATTACACAACCTGATGCTAAACCTCAAGCTTCTAGAAAAAGAAGAGCAGGACAAACTCAAAGCTCATACAAGGGAGGAAATTATAAAGATCAGAGCAGAAATCAATGCAATGGAGGCTAAGAGAATGATACAAAAAATCAATGAAGCAAAGAGTTGGTTCTTTGAAAAAATAAACAAAACTGAAAAGCACTTAGCCAACCTTATCAAAAATAAAAGGAAAGAAAAGGCCTAAATCCTTGCAATTAGGAATGAAAAGGGTGAAATTACAACAGACCCAGCAGAAATCCAGAGGGTCATCAATACTTACTTCAAGAACCTATATGCCAATAAGACAGAAAACACAGAAGAAATGGACAGATTCCTAGATATGTATGAATTACCAAAGTTGAATGAAGACCTAAAAATTCTAAATGACCCAATATCAATCAATGAAATTGAAAATATAATTTAAAAAGTAAGAAAAGCCTGAGCCCTTATGGCTTCACTGCTGAATTCTACAAGACATTTAGAGAAGAACTATTGCCACTACTCTTTAAACTCTTCAATGAAATTGAAAGGGAGGCAGTAATCCTGAATTCATTCCTGGAAACAAGCATCACTTTGATCCCCAAAGCAGAAAAAGACCCAACCGAAAAAGAGAGCTATAGGCCAATCTTACTAATGAACATAGATGCAAAAATCCTTAATAAAATACTGGCAAATTGAATGCAGAAGATCATCAAGAAGTTCATACACCCTGACCAAGTAGGCTTTATCCCAGGGATGCAAGGATCAGAAAATCATCAAGAAGATCATACACCCTGACCAAGAGGCCTTTATCCCAGGGATGCAAGGATGGCTCAACATATGCAAATCAATAAATGTAAAATATTTTATTAATAGAGCCAAGGACAAAAAACATATGATCATCTCAATAGATGCAGGAAAAACATTCAACAAAATCCAACACACAATGATAAAAAATTGGAATTGATAGTATCTACCTCAATCTGATAAAAGCCATCTATGAAAAACCAACAGCCAATATCATACTAAATGGTCAAATACTGAAATCCTTCACACTAAAATTACGAACAAGACAAGGATATCCACTATCACCACTCCTGTTCAATATAGTCTTGGAAACATTAGCCATGGCAATTAGACAAGAGAAAGAAATAAAAGGAATTAGGATAGGAAATGAAGAAGTCAAATTGTCTTTATTTGCAGATGACATAATACTCTATATAGAAGATCCCAAGAACTTGACCAAAAGTCCTGTAGACTTAATAACCAAATTCAGTAGAGTACCTGGATTCAAGGTCAACACACAAAAAAATCAATAGACTTCCTGTACATGAACAACAGACTCACTGAAAGAAAAATGGGGCACACAATTCCTTTCACAATAGCATCCATAAAAATCAAATACCTAGGAATCAACCTAACAAAAGAAATCAAAAACCTCTACTCTGGAAACTATAGCACTCTGAAAAAAGAGGTTGAAGAGGATATTAGAAAATGGAAAGAAATCCCTTGCTCCTGGGTAGGAAGAATCAACATAGTGATAATGGCCATACTTCCAAAACTGTTATATAGATTCAATGCAATCCCAATTGAAATTCCAGCAGCATACTTCACAGACCTTCAGAAAACAATCGAAAAATTCATTTGGAACAAGAAGAGACCCAGAATAGCAAAAGCAATTCTAGGCAATAAAGACAAGGTAGGGGGTATCACAATCCCCAACTTGAAACTATACTACAAAGCTACTGTGATCAAAATAGTATGGTGCTGTCAAAGAAATAGACCTGAGGACCAGTGGAACAGATTGGAAGATGCAGAAACAACTTCAGACACATTCAGACACCTCATCTTTGACAAAGGAGCCAAACACCCTCACTGGAAGAAAGATAGCCTCTTTAATAAATAGTGCTGGAAAAATTGGGTTTCAAATTGCCAAAGATTAAACCTAGCC